CTCAGGGTCCTCTGCATGAACAGAATCATATCAGCTTTGTATGGAACGTAGAATCGTAATCTTATGGAATACCAAAACAGGAGGACTAATAGAGGCCGATTCTGTGAAGCGTATTAGAACACGGATCGACGATTAGTTCGGAAACCTGTGCTTTTGGGAAACGCTGTACATACAATGCAAAAGATACATCCTGTACGTGGAACTAATGACATCGATACGAATTCCTAACCGAACAAGGATAAAAGCTTAAGGTTGGAAGTTTGTGAGTAGGGTAAAGTTTGTAGAAAGTAGAAGTCACGATTAAAATTCACGCACAATAATATGCCTCGACGGGGAGTCGAACCCCGGTCCACGAATTTCCGGTCCGCTGCTCTACCACCTGAGCTACCGAGGGCTGACGATTAGGTGCGCAAAGTTTAACACATGACTTCTGCTTGGTGCGCGACGTTATGTCAATGGGCTCACAGTACCTGTCCTGATGTTGCAGATTGGCTCACTCACACGTCACTTCCCAATGGACCGAAGTACCTGTCCTTCAAATGCCCAAGGGGCGATGGTAGATTAATGTTGGAAGTTTGTTAGTAGGGTAAAGTTTGTAGAAAGTAGAAGTCACGATTAAAATTCACGCACAATAATATGCCTCGAGGGGGAGTCGAACCCCGGTCCACTGACGATTCGCAATCAAATACTTTTGATTTTTCATAATTCGATAGAGTTGTAAAGAAGCTTTTCTACTTGCTCTTATATACAGTCTCATGTTTGGATCACGGCTCGCTCTTTAGAGCTGTTCGACCCCGCAGAGATATTATGGCAGAATCAGACTGCAACGAGCGGCGCCGCTCTGCTAAACGGATGCTCAAGAAAAGCCTGCGCAATGAACGGATGCTTAGTGATGTGAGGGTGTTTTAGAGATGGAAACCGCTGCCCTCTCTGGCAGCACCCGTATGTTTTTCCAACTGACTCGGTCCACTGGTCTCAGGAAGCCTAGTGTCAGTGAGAATATTTGCGAGGCGGATGGGTCTCGGATCACCAACCGACAGAGGCAGTTGGACCGCTGGGCCGAGCACATTCACTCATATTTCAAATGCCCTCCACCGTCTGTCAGTGCACACAGTATACCTTGTTGTCTAACCTGGTTCCTCTTACTGGATACACCCAGAAAGCGGAAGTCTACTTCAAGATTAGACGCTTGGAGCGACTCAAAACTGAAGGCCTAGACGGACTTCGTCGAGCACTGGTTAGCTAAAGGCGGTGTCGCAAGCATTACTTAGTTAACCTCGTTGTTCTCAAAAGTTCGCCATATAGACAAAGTACCTTCTTTCTGGAGCAAATCATTTATTGTCAAGGTTTTCAAGAAAAGGCGCTCACACCGTGTGTCAATCTTCGACGGGTAAGTCTTATTTCGGTTGCCTTCAAGCTACTAACATCCATTCTGCTTCGTAGACTACCCCAAAAACATGGAATATACTACCGTAAGGAACAAGCTGGTTTCCATCCTGGCCATCGATGCGCAGATCAAGTCTTCCCGCTCCACCAACTCCGCCAACTCCTCCAGCAACGCCACACTTACCACGGGCCCACTATCGTCGCGTTCGTAGACATATGGGTTGCATTTGACTCCGCTGATCGACGTGCTTTTTGGCGTTGCTTGCTGAAGAACAAGGTGCCAGAGAAGTATATCGCCATCTTACCGGCATTTCACCTTCATACCTCCGGCAGAGTGAAGGTTTACGACAGGCTTTCCTTGCACTTCGCTACCAATTGCAGTCTACGACGTTGCCGTCATGCGTCCCTATTCTTCTACAAGGTCGCAGTCTAGGTCATCCTGCAGAGAGATCTAGTAGGTTATCAGAATTTTGGCTTAGAGCTTCTACCGGGTAAGCGCACGAACGGCTTCGGTTATGCTGATGATATCGTCTGATGAGATGAAATGACATCGAAACGCGTCTTAGTTGTGCAGTGTTTTCGGGCGGGCAACATCCAATTTCCATGCGCACAAGCTGTTTGCTGTCAAAATGCTAATAGAAAAGCTTAAAGAACAACGTGTATGTACGCGCAAGTTCTCCGAAAACTTGGCAAAACTTCTACAGAGGCATTTCAGTTGATCAGCCAGGCGTATAGGGAGGACTGTGTTAAGTATGCTGCGTATTCAATCCAGTAACGCCTATAGGTGTCGTTCCCCACGCGTCGAGTAGCGGTACGAAATCCAGACCGCTTACGCCCCGCAGATCCTAGCCGCGAGTATCCAACAGGCGAGACTATCGCAATCCCAGAACTGCACCGCTAGACAGAGAGGGAGAGAGAAGACAGTCCTTCGACAAGAGCGCTTCTACTGACTCAGAAGAAAGGCGAACATGAATTCTACACCTCCGTATTTATAGCACCGTGTTGCCGGGCTGACGAGAGTAAAAAGGCATTTACAAAGGCGAACATCAATTAATGGGAGTTGGCACCCAGCAACAGTGTTACCGAGGGATCACGGGCTGATTTCGGCAGGTTGCTTGTCGCCTGATAAGATAAGTGACGTAATAGAAGTAGATAACGGTGACACCGAGGGAACATCGGTGTAATTGTCATCTGTGTGAGTTGCCATGCGGAAACGGTGGGACGGGGTCAGCGAGAGGGAAACGGCTCGGCGTGGAACTTCTGTGGACCCATGAGGGCTCTGCAACAGACTGTATGAGTCGCACGCAGTGTTATAAGTTGTTTAGGCATCTTGAACAGGGTAGGATGTCGATCGGTGATTATCCCAAGCCGCAACGACCTTCCACATCGACAGATGATGAACACGTCATGAGAATTCTTGCTGTAACCCGTAAAAAATCGTCCTTGAAATGCTCCAGAAGTTTCTGAAGAAGTGGGCATCAGAGCAAAGTCATGCCAACAACTTTTGAATGACAAAATTGGGATGCGTCGTGTGAGTACGAAAATCGGGCAGCGTTTATTGACTAATGACCTGAGACAGAACCGATTTGAAATCAGCCAGCAATTGCTTGCCACTGCCATTACCGATGAAAACTTCCTTAAAAACATTATAACAGGCGATGAGACGTGGGCTTACGCTTATGATATTGTAACGAAGGCGCAGTCCTTGTAGTGAATGGGGAAAGGGTTTCCTCGTCCAAAAATCCATGAGTCGCTCAAAGATCAAGGCGATATTAGTCGCGCTTTTGACTACAAAGGCTTCGTCCATCAGGAATTTGTACCACGTGGTCGGATGGCAAACAAGAAAGTCTACCGGGGATATCTGGCGCGTTTGAGAGAAGTAATGCGTAGAAAAGTTCTGAACTGTGGTAAAACCAGACTTGGATGGTGTATCCTGAATGAGCGCCGGCTCACGCATCGCTCATTGTCCGCAGCTATCTAGCAATAGATCAAACTCCCATTGCATCTCAGCCACCGTATTCTACGAACCTAGCCCCAGCAGATTTTGCCTGTTTCCTAAACTTAAAGCTGTGTTGAAAGGACATAGTTTTTAAACCAGGGAGGAGATTCAAGACAATCAGACAAGAGACATAAGCGGTATCCCGGAAAGTGCGTTCCTGGAAGCTTCTCAAAGAGGAGGCATTGTTGGGAACGACGTACTGCCAGTGGGAGCTACTTTAATGAGGACAGTTTTTAAAACGTTTTGTAAAAAGCAACAAATATGTTACAGAAAAGGGTTCTTCTTCTTAAAGTTTCTTTTTAAGCTCATCTTGTATAAATTATTAGTATTATTATCAGCTAACACCCTAGGCTGACTGGTGGATAATGCACATAGACAGTGTGTAGGTGGTAAATGCGAGTGCGTGATTTATCTTGGGAGTCCGTAAACGGTCACACTGGTACCAATGGTGTCAAGGTTCACATTGCACCTATAAAACACAGTGTTCTCCTCAGTAAGGTGCTGATAACAGCACACATTGTAGGGCTAATATGGTGAGGCCTCAAAGTGCTGGTGATGGAGCATACGACAGAAATAAACGGAAAGGGATAAGGGAGACCTCAGTAGAGTGATGTTTTTACCTATCCGTTCTGCTGTATGCAGTTGACAAGGTAGTGCCTATGAAGATATGTGTTAGTCGATGCGGGGTGAATTTTGATGGAATCATGCTGATTGATACATCACCATGGGGACGAGAATCATTGGGGTCATCAAATGAGGCCTTTAGTGCAAAGGCCAAAGTGCGAGGCGGCAGAGATAAGTTTACGGTTCACAAAGTGAGCTATTTTCACTTATATGGGGCCAATCCAGCCCCAAGCGAATATCTGGAGGACTAAGAGTTTGGGTTTATCTGACTTCTATCCACTGACCAGTTTAACAGCAGTGGCTCCCACAGTGTTACAGCTTACAGAGGGTAGTAAGGGGAGTTGAATGGTATAGGTAGAAATTCGTCACATCTAGACTCACTCAGATAGCCGTCACACTCCCGGAAAAGCACTGTACGCGCATTTCATCCTTTCAGAAATCGTCAGAAGTGCGCATTCCATCAAAGGAGTACGCAGGCTGTCGAAGCTAGTTAAGGCCCATTCTGGTCAGGACGGTATGACCCGCAACCGCATCACATACTGCATTAATCGAGTCGTAACAAACAATGGGGTGAGCACACGGATGTAATGTGGAAAGGTAAGCCCGGATTCAAGATGCGTGGTTTGCAGTCCCAATTCCCTCGTACAGGAGGCCAAGAAATAAATGTACCGGAAGTTAAGCATAATAAATGTTAACAGTGCAATGAAAACAACAGGTCAAAGGCGAAAACGAACAATGTCAATGCATTCGTAAGCGGTCTCTAACTCATTGTCAGGAATTCAGCCAACAGAATCTAGCGATACGTATGGATTATACTTAGTGATAAAGGATAACTAAAATGGAAGTTGTTTGAAAGCAAGTAAACATAGGGAGTGGATAACGAAAGGGGGAGTGCACGACGCATTATTGGCCATGTGAATGAGTCAGGTTCCAGATGGATCAGTATTTGTGTGAAAAAAAGAGTTAATAGAACTTCCAGACATAGACTTACTTGTCAAGAAGGCATCTGCTGAAACCAAATCACCTTGAATTGATCGCCTCAGACATGTTTGCAGTGCCTCAAACAGGTTCTGGAGCAAGCCCTCGATAGCAACCTTCACAGAAAGGCAGTTCACAGTGATGCACTCAAGCTTGATTTCGTTTGGTAGTTTCTCCGCATCGCGACCACGTGTTTTCATTGCCTATGAAAAAGTAACAAGGTTAAACTATGAGAAAGTAGTTTCCTCGACATTCACACCCCTTATAGAAAGGGTGAGAAAAAGCATATTTAAAAGGCCACAATGAGAATGAAGCAAATGATTCAGCCCGTAAACAGGAGTCCGCTCTATCGACAGGAAAACAATTTGTCAGAATGTATACCTTCCCTACATTGTACATTGAAGAACATATCACTGTAGACGTGTTATGCTTCCCCACCTCCAGCACTATAACTGAAGTCACCAAAGTGTTTTATGCACCCAGGACAAAGGAATATTCAGATGTAACATACGTTTAGCAGTGTAGATGATATAAATGCGATTCAAAAAAGATCGGTTATTAAATGAAAAACACGGTACTACCATAGCATAAACTGGTTGGCTACTTCCCTGAAAAATTTTTTTAGATTCGCATCAGACAAAGAATAACTGAGTAAGGAACTTTCACTTCTCTCCGGTTGACGAGGTCGACACCCATTCGGATAATTTGAAATGAAGATCGTGAGTTGTGTCGGTAAGTACCGTTGACGCTGACCTCTAGCCAGAACTAACATGAATGGACATCAGTACATTAAAAAAAAATCAGCATAGACACCCAGCTACTTCGCGGCAAGTGTTTTAACGACCTGGAGATTAATCTGAACTGTTTGCCCAGTAGACCAGGAAAAATCATTGGAAAGCGGTATGTCCTGTATGGACAGTGACAAAACGAAATATCAACTCATGGGGGAAACAGAAGTTCGCAGACGATAGGGGTACAGCGATAATCTCCGGATTTTTGAGCACGTTTCATTCACCTGATGTGACCAAGAGAAATCATAGCCAAGGGTGACACCTAGGTGGTTCATTGATGTCAAGGAGTGTAACCCCTCGGCATCAATGTGGAGTTCCGGGCAATGCTTGAGAACGCGTTGTTACCCATCTCCTCTGGGCAGTGAAAAACGGCATCATTGCAAGTTAACAAGTTAACCGACAGCTCGCAGACTTTCGATCAAAATGTGAGCTCGTTAAGAACATCCTGTAGTCTGACTGAAGAGGCAGAGATCGATTGACAGATATCCCTCACAATGTCATCTGCGTAATTTAATGGGGTCGTCTCCCCAGGAATCGGCAATGAGCTGAAGTAAATGGAAAAGAAAAATGATGACAGAATAGCTCCGCTAAGAACACCAATGTTTGTGATCGAACGAGAGGAGATTCTACCTCCAAGTCGGGTCGCCTGAGTACGACCGGCAAAATAATCCGTCAAAGGGAGAGCGATCTGTCGGCAGCAATTCACTGTTTACGCTGATAAGTGTACTGCTGTAGTCTAGAAAACAACGTAGGGTGGACTTGATTCTATTGTCCAGCGATGGTAGAAACTAATGCACAAGAGAGGTCACTGCGTTCTGAGCTGACCTTGAACTGCGATAAGCAAATTGACGAGAGTCATTTGACTGCTTTTGTTACAGGACCTTCACATGAATGATTATTCCAAACACATTTAAGACTACCGAAGTAAAGCAATAGGTCTATAATTGTTTGATATTTTGTTTGGTGCTGGTACAGCAGTGTTGCTGAATGTATCAAGTGTGGAAAGTAACTAAAGGTTTGGCCAGGAAGTCAGCATATTTCTTGAGGAGAACAAGAGACACTGGGTCCGGACCGCTACTTTTTTTCTGAGTGTGGCTGCTTCGGTACCTTGTGTACAGTGTCACTGTCGACAAGAGGCACTGAGTGCAGACAATTAACGCTGGGCAAGAGGTGTCGGAGAATGCTGTAGTACATACAGAAGTAGCGGTTCAGTTTACCCACACCTTATTCAGTGGCCGATGTACGTCGAGTAGTCCCAATTTATTGTGTGAACACCCTTCAGAGCTCGCGATATCTACTAGTCCCAAGTGTCACCTGAACGTACACGTCATTGAGACAGCGTAACTCATGCTTACTAATGACAGAGCGAGAGACTTTACTGTGATTTCTTTTACATGCTTTACTCTGCGCAGCAGCTTCAGCTGGAGGAAGGGAACCTGTCTGCACAGTTGAAGAGTGTTGCATGGGCTGCGGGTGTAAGGCAGCTTGTCAGCTGATAGTAATAGGTGGGGAGATCAGCCTCGGATAAAGTCAGCAAAGGGTAGCATTTGTGGTAGTCGACCTATATTCTGTGCGGAAAATCGCCTCCACATGAATTTGCGATTGTTGTAGCGAGTAGCTTCGTTGTAATTTTTCGTAGAGCAAACAAAAGGGTACTACTAAGCACCTTCCGAGTACACATGCAGAACAGGTTTACGTTGTTAAAAATGTATGGTCCATGGTCGCACTTGATCCGGTGGGGTAGTGTGTGATGTTTTGTAGCCCAAGAGTGGGGAGAATTGTGATGTTAACGCGGTTAACAGTATCAACAAGAATACATACGGAACAACCGATATGCTATATAATAGTCGTCATAAACTCGTTGTAAAATACCTTTGCTTCAAGTTTGTGGTATGTGGGGCAAATATAGATATCAGTCAATGGGAGTGAGTGGTACGCACCCATGCGTCTTGGCTTGCACATCATGGCTAAGCGGCTAATAGGTTGCGAAGAAAAGCAAGACATAGATTTTGTCGATATGCACTAGGAAGAGATTCGTGAAGCCAGGAATCTTGCGGTAGAATGATGCCTAAGTGCAAAAATATTCTCGAGATCTCATGGTGCTCGCTAATTCACCCATTTTCCTCAGAAGCGAAAGTACATAGGTATGAATCGGTCTACATAAATCCAAGTTCGACCATAGCAGAGGTGTGAGGAGAACGAATTCGGCTAGATATAAGTTTATTGATAAAACGTATAGTTGTGCTAGCTAAGGGGCACCGGAAAAGTGACTAGCTAGGGAAGAGAATAGAAGCAGCCAGACGCCACGAGCAGCGTTCTAGACCCGGTAGCCGGAAGAGCTCAGGAAGCGTTCGGTCTGTTTGACTAAAACATACATGGTCAAGGTTCCAAAAGGCAAACTGGTTAACTCTTCTAGGCGCATCGCAAATAATGTACACAACGTATCGAAGTAAAAAGTGGATTAATCAAGTCACTGGAAACGGATGCTTGAGGTAAGTAAGATGTGTATGCACATGCTTTGCAATTTTTCTTCCGCAGAGCAACTCCGAACACCGCGCGGTGTTTTCGTGCACAACCATTGCGCATCTTGTAGATTTGTTTCAGATTATTTCGTATAACATAGTTTGCAAAGGCACAACTTGTGAACGATTTCAAACTATAGTGTGTATACGTAAACAAGATAACAATTGCAGAAAAATGAATAAAACTTGAAAGTACCATCGTTTCGATAAAATCAAAACCATGTGCGTTAGTACTTCCACGGAAAAGAATCGTCGTCATTGTCATAAATAAATGATAAATGATAAATGTTATATTCCTCGGTAGCCGAGGGTGAGAAACACACCTCAGCTAGTGTGCCGCAAAACAAAAGGATAAGATCCTAAAAAGTACACTAGAAAATGTTCATAAAGCTGGTAGAATAATGTTAACTATGATATTATTCACCTGCTATGAGATAGTAATTGAAAGGGGGAATATAAAGGAGAGGAGATGGGCAAAGCAACTAACAGCACACACATCATTAGAGCCGGCTCCTACCCATGTCAGCAAATGAGTCCAACCAAACGTGTTCATCATCCTTCGGAACCCAGCCAGGCAGTCGGGATGCACCAACCGACACCAACTTCGAAGTGAGGTTTCACAACCTTATAAGAGGGTTGAACGGACGGTTGCATTACAAACTCTTTCCTTCAGAGCGAGGGTGATGTCGTGTCGGTGCAACAGGTGGCGGAGATTGTCAAAAGCACCTAGAGCTTTTGCTGTACGGTTCGCGACCACATCTTCGATCCAACGGAGGCTAATATAGCTGCCCAGGTATTTGAATTTCTGAACGACTTTCAGCTGCTCACCACCAAGAGTCAGCGCAGGGGTGGGTCCCTGCCAATCATGGAGAAGGATTTTGCATTTTGAGGGAGCAATGCATAGCCCAAAACAATTGACAGCAAGTGCTAAGCTGTCCACTGCTGCTTGGCACGTTTGGGAGCTGTCAAACATGACGGCACTGTCGTCAGAATATTCCAAGTCAAGAAATCGCTCATCAGGAAGCAGCTCCACACCTCGTAAGCCGTGTCTAGCGAACACTGTTTCCATGACTTCGTCATTGGTGAAGTTCAAGAGGAAAGGTGACAAAGATAGTAAAGTGCTGCGACAGTTTGCTATAAACCCTCACTCTACCAAAGTATGTGCGCACAACGTTCTTATAATGTTTACGTATTTATCGGGCACATCTTTTCTGAGTAGATAGTCCCAAAGAGCACATCGATCCACTGAATCAAAGGCACTGTTTATGTCGAAAAAACGACTGCGGTGGGTCGCCAATAAACATGGCAGTGCTCCAACAATTGGCGCAGACCGAAGAAGTGGTCGATGCAGCCTCGATTTCGACGAAATCCTGCCTGCTCCTCGTGAATCCGGCTTTCACGAGTGACAGTCAGCCTGTGGAGGACGGACACAAGCAATTTAGAGGCAATTGCAATCAGACTGATACTTCTATGGTTGCTGCATTCCGAACGGGAACCTCCCTTGAAAATTGGGATTATAACTGTCGGACCAGTTTCCTGCTCCCAAAGTTTTACTGGCAACTCGTGTAAATCATCTACATGAGCAGATCCGTCAAATATGAAGAGGGCTGGAGGTAGTATAGTTGCCGTTGCGCCTTTACTCAATTTCAGAAGTCTTATCCCACGTACGATTTTTGTCCGTGAGAGCAGATTCACCGGGATGGACCAGGAAGTAAGGCAATCAATGGCCGCTAGAGTGGTTGGTAACTCTGACTGATTGAACTGCTTGTCAAATTGTTCGGGCTAACGCTCCAAGCGTTTTGACAGGTTGTGGATCGGTTGTCCACTCTTGTCGCGTATGTTCTCGCTAACACCAGGTCTCTTGCTGCCCGTTTCCCGTATCAGACG